TAGCAAATGTCAGTTTTCAAACCGCTGTAATCCACACAGGCACTTTCAAGAACATTCTTAGTTCTTGTACCATGAAGTTCCTTTTTTCATTAAATGATTTTCCACTGGCCATGTATAGGCTAATCATGTGCTTTAAAAAATGAAACTGATACATATGGATAGATTCCATGGCCCTAATTCTTTTCCCCACCCCCCCCAAAGCCCCAATTCATAAAAAAAAAAAGAGACTAGTAAAGGATTTCTCATACAGATCCAAAATAAAATGTTCTAAAACCTAGAGACAGGTAAAACTGAAACAAAAGCAATATGTAAAATTAGATTAAGAAAACTCCTGTACCTATGTACAAAGTCTAACAAGCACTACTGATAGAGTACTATACACTTTCTTGAAGGAAAAAGGGGTAAACTTTCACAACGGGTATGAAATGCAACTGAGAATATATATAGAATAAGTAAACAAAGTAATAATTGTAGGGTCTTACCAAAACTTCAAACTTAGCCCTTTTTAGCACCATTAAGGCTAAAAAAGGTGGAGGGAGAGTACTATTTTATAAGGATAAAGACGAATAACGAGATCCTGTTAGGCACGCAGGTAAAGGGAGTAATCGCCACCTGCACTAGCCAATTTCCCGTTTGTATTTTGAGCTTCTTGTCTCGAAGTCCAAACCAAACATTTATTCCCACCTTAATCTGTTTAATGTTTATAGGATTTGATTTCTCTTCTTCTACTCCAAAACAAAAATATGCCCCCAAACTGCTCCGTTTAAGGTTTTTTGCGGTAGGGAGGTGGGGGTGGGGAGGAATCATTTTGGAAAAATCTTTCCAAAGAAGATATCTGAGAAAATATTAGCACATGGAAAAGTTGTATATACATTTTATCTACTTACAAATTCTAGCAGGGTCTTAAACCGTCAACTGTCAACGTCAGGGAAGCCCTTCCGGTGTTCTTTCTGCTCCACGACGCGGGCTGCACCCCTCCTCGGACGCAGCCGAGCAGAATGTCGTCCCAGTCCCTGTCCACGTGATACGACCTCCGTGGGGAGGGGAGGAGCCCGCGGAATGCTGGGACTGGTAGTCGGCCCACCCCCTCTTCCTTCCTAGTGCGCACCCCCCTCCCTCTACTCCCCATCCAGAGCCCGGGCGGGGGGCGTGGTGAGTACGCGCAACAGAACCGCCGGCGTCCAGTGCCCCTGCAGATCCACAGGAAGGCACGCACTTTTGCAAGACAACCATCAACTCTAGCACTTACAAATTTACAGGCTGGAACAACCCGTGGAACCAACTCAGTGAGGGGCACTACCCAGTAATAGCAAACACCAGTCAGACGTGACTTGGAACTCAGCCTCTACTTTTACTAGGTGTGTCCCCCCAAACGAGTTGCTTAATCCAAACCTCAGTTTGCTCGCGTCAAATGGGAACAAGGCTCTTACATACCTCATAAGGTTATTGTGAGTAAACGTGCTGATTAATGAAGGTAAGGGTATCTGCTAAACGATAGTAGTAAATGATGAATAAAAAATAGCTCTTATTTTGATTAATTCTATAAATGTGAAGATTGAGAAAGGGCAAGGAATTTACCCTAGAACACATGATCGGTCATGGGCAATGAAGTCAGTCTAAAATTCCTGTTCCTGACCAACACCAACACAAAACAACACAGAAGAAATCCCTCTTAAAGCTCACTTTTCCTTTCCTCATTTTTTCCATAACATTTCTGACCAATACACTATTTTACTTACTTTGATTTTATCTGACTCCCATAGAATGTAAATTCCAAGGCAAGGAGGGTTGTATTTTGGTTGTATTCTTTCACTGCTATATCCTCAGCACATAGAACAGGGTTTGTCTAGTACATAGCAGAAGCTCAAATATTTATTTGATTCTTCATGTAGTGGTGATTTTTGGTGCCTTCATCTTCTCATTCTTTCTGCAGAAATCACAGAATTTGGGAACACTCCTAGATGCTGCTTAATAATTGACTGCAATTTCTAATTCAACAAAGAATAAGTGGAAGAATATATCCCATTCACTTTGTCGAATTTAACTTTTTAAAATTTCAGTATAACATTTCTAGCTAGACACTTTCATTTGTATTAACAGTCTTTGAAATATTTTTCCTATCACTTGTGAGAATGGGGAATAAATGGAGTTAGCTACTATTTCTTTACTTTCTCTTAATATTTTAATTATCTTTAACTTATTAATAACAACGTTGCCTTTCTACTAAGATATAAAGTTCTTTCCCTACCTGACCAGAAATGTGAGTATGCACAAAGAATTGATAGATGCTTTCTAAGTAAATAAATGGATTTGTGCTTACCCTAAACAAACTCATGTACAAAAATTACTTTATTTTAAAATAAAATGTTTCCTTTAGAATAGCTGCTTTAGAAATCCACTGTCAACAACACTAGATTTCTAGACCTAGGGATAACAGCTAGGTATATAAATTGATGCCAGTTATTTAATCTGAATTATAATTTTTTGTGTATATCTTTCCCCTAATAAATGGCAAATTCCCTAAGGGTAAAGAATACACATTAATTTAATCCATACATTTATCAAACATCTATGCTGTGGCAACACAGATGTTTGATAAATATGTGAATTAAATTCCTTGTTATAATCATTTCTTCTCTTACCTGTCTTCTCTTGTGATCCACTGAATTCCTCTATATATTTCAAATTCCCGAGGTAACTGTCTAACATCCAGAGCTCATGCCCCTTCTTGGTATTGGTGACCCAGCAAGTCCCTTCTACTATTGGCTATGAATCTACTGCCTCTAATGTCACCTCTTTTGGGCCACCCTTGTAGTTTGGAAAACATCTACAGCAGAAAATCTGGTTTGACAAGAGTTTAGCTTTACCTCACAGTTAGTAACAAAAGTTGTTATTTGTAAAGTTGCTAGGTGTGGGAGACATGTATATACACAAGAATATGTATTCTTATTACCTAAAGAGGGAAAATCCTAAGCAAACACATGTGTTAACGTTAAAGTTACCATGCGCCTCTGATTTTAAGATTCCTGAATTTTTTGGAAAGCCAAAGCCATTAGTTTCTTTCCTAAGCCTTTAGCCAAAGCCATTAGTTTCTTTCCTAAGCCTTTACAAGGATTTTGTATAACACAGTACTGATTATTCAGTAACATGAAGATCATCTTCTCTGATTGTTCAGTAATATATAGAACCTCTTGTCCTTTCTTTTTTTAATATGTCCCCAAACCTAAGTTTAAAAGTCTGTGTCCAAGTTTCTACATAGGAACTGTACTGGTGGGGCACGTGGGCGGTTCAGTCATTAAGCATCTGCCTTCGGCTCAGGTCATGATCCCAGAGTCCTGGGATCGAGCCCCGCATCGGGCTCCCTGCTCGGTGGGAAGCCTGCTTCTCCCTCTCCCGCTCCCCCTGCTTGTGTTCCCTCTCTCATCATGTCTCTCTCTGTCAAATAAATAAATAAATCTTAAAAAAAAAATAAACTGTACTGGTAAATGTTTTAAAGAGGTATTTAAATATGCATTAATGTTCATAATACGAACTTTGTATATTAATACTATAGTTTTATATTCTGTAATAATTACACTATGAAACTTCTATTATGTTAATAATGAGCAATATAATAGGCACCTTATAGAGAAATCATTACTTAAATAAAATCAAAGCCTGGTATTACCAAGTATCAATCTTTTCAGTATTTTATCAGAGAAGAATTAAGTCCCACAAATTTTCCAAACACTGTATCATTTAACCCGAGCTGGCAAAGGAGAATACGCTTTTAATTTTCCCTTAAAATGAAAGATTAAAAAATTAGTAGCATCTCCTTTGTCACTCTTCCTCCAGTTTCTCTGGCTATGTTGTATATTATAAACAAAACTAAGCTCCTGACAGGCTAAAATCTGGGTGACTCTAAAGCATGTAATTGTGTCTGCGGCCAAATTTATGAACTATTAGTGAAAACAATACACCTGAAGATTTCATTAAGTTGAAATTTTTGTCCAGTTTAAGCAAATGAGTCGCTGAAAAACATTCTAAGGTGATTTAAAATACCTGAAATAAACATCTTCAGAGTTTTCAGAATCATTCATTGTAATTGGTTCCCAAAATTACAATTTCTTAAATCTACTGACTAAATTCAATTCTAGAAAGCCCTTCAAGAAGACAAGCGTGGGGGCGCCTGGGTGGCTCAGTCCTTAAAGCGTCTGCCATGGGCTCAAGTCATGATCCCAGACTGCTGGGATCAAGCCCCATATAGGGCTCCCTGCTCAGCGGGAAGCCTGCTTCTCCCTCTCCCACTCCCCCCTGCTTGTGTTCCCTCTCTCGCTGTGTTTGTCAAATAAATAAAATCTTAAAAAAAAAAAAGTGTGTATGTTTGAGGTAAATATTAATCTTTCTCCCAAATATTAACCTTCTCCATGTTTAATCTGGCTAAATAACTGCAATTAACCACATCTGTAAATATGGTATAGAGAGGTGAAACAAATAGCTCTTACCCTATTTTCTTTTGTTTTTTTGAAGATTTTATTTATTTATTCATGAGACAGGGGGGAAGGGCAGAGAGAGAGAAGCAGGCTTCCCAAGGAGCAGGGAGCCCGATGCGGAACAAACTCGATTCCAGGACCGTGGGGTCATGACCTGAGCCGAAGGCCAATGCTTAACCATCTGAGCCACCCAGGCGCCCTACCATGTTTTCTTATTCGGTAAATTAAAGGCAGGAAACCCTAAGTAAAATTTAGTAGATCAAATCATACCCAAAATCAAAATAATGGATCACAAGTTAAAATTACATTGTTCTTATTTAATCAAAGTATTCGCTTATTTCTCAAAGTCCGTAACACAGCCCTAATAAGGTTTCTGAACAGTGCTACTGGAATAGAGTTTTTATACGAAAGCCAGGAATAAGACTGCATAAATTCTGCAAATGTAAATCCACCCGTGTGTGTCTGTAGATACGATTTTGCACTCTCAACCGGCGATTTAAAAACTAAAACTGGCTGCCTTCATAAGGGGCTTAAAACTAAAAATTTTTCCAAGAAAAGATGGCACTTGCAGAAGTATCTTTAAACCATCACTCCTACTAGAAACACTTAGAAAGGCATGGCTAAGCTAGCAGTCGGTCAAAAAGGTTCCAGGAAAAGTGCGCAACAGCCTGGGGGCGAGGACAGAAACTTCTCCACCCAACTTTGGCTCGGCCTTTTCAAGAGCCTCGGAACCGGGGGCCAGGACCGGCGTCTCCTGCGTGCGGGCAACAGTTGCCACGAGCAGCTGGGTTTAGAAAAGGCAGTCTGCCTAGCCAGTTGTCCCTTCTCCGTCGTCCCCTCCCTCCCTCCTTCCCCCAAGGCCAAGGACAGCGACGTCGTCCTCCCTCTTCTCCTCCTCTTTGGTGCCTTCAGCCAAGAGGCGGGAGTGACCCGCAACAGCTGACCCGGCAGAGGCACTGCCTCTCCCACAGCCCTCAGGACACACCATGGGCCCAGAGGCCGGTTTGCAGCACAGCAGCGACGACGCAGGCGGTGGCCCCGGCGACTCTCAACTACCTCCCTGACCGTCACGACCACCGCCCAATACCCCGAAGAGTCGTCGCCACCAACGGCAGGAGAATCTAAGGACCCCAAAACCACCCTCGCGATCGACTCAAGCTACGTCAACAACTATGGCGGGGGACGGGCGGCGGGCGGAGCCGGGGAGGGAAGGATGGGGGATGTACGTCACACCCCGGGCCCCCCTACGGGAGGGAAAGCTCCGGCTCGCCCCTCAAAATGGCGGCGGCAGTGACGCGCCTGCGTACGGAACTCCTTCGCCGTCGCGTCACGGCCGGCGGGAAGTGAGGTTCTCAGAAAAGCCGCCAGAAGTGTACGGCGACTTCGAGCCCCGAGTGGCCAAAGAAAAGTCCCCGGCGAGAAGACGAGTCCCGCTAGAAGAGTTCCGGCCTGATTCTGCGAAAGAGGAAGTGAGAGAAAGCGCCTACTACCTTCGGTCTCGGCAGCGGAGGCAGCCGCGACTCCAGGGAGCCGAGGAGATGAACACACGAAGGACTACCCGCCTGCAGCAGCAGCAACAGCAGCAGTCACACCAGTCCCTGCACCACCCGTCTCCGGTTACGACCAGGAGAGGGTTACGGGACTCTCATTCCTCTGAAGGTGAGGCCGCCGGAGGTAACAGTCTCAGCCGTGAGCCGGGAAACGAGCGCAGCGCGCGGGCGCAAGCGGAGTGTGTGCGCGTGCCGGGCGGGCGTGCGTCCCCGCGCAGCTCATCCCCGCCCAGCTCATCCCCGCCCGGGCTCGGGTGGCTCGGCGGCGCGGATGGACTGGCGCCCCCACGCGGGGTCCGCCTCAGCCCGAGGCGGGAGGGCTGGAAAGGCGGTCGGGCGGAGCGACCTGAGCGGGGTGCTCTGCGCATCCCTGGGCATCGACCTCAGGGGCTCCGAATTGCCACTTTCTCAGGCCTTCACGGGGAGGGGGGTGGCGAGTTGGGTGCTGGCGGGACAGGGAAACACTTCAGGCTCGGTTTCATTTCGGTTCCCTCTGTCCTGCGGATGTTGCTACCAAAGCCACTTCCATTTCCTCTAACTCTCAGAGGCCAGAAGCCCCCGGCTGAGAGTTACGGTTCCGATGTAACCTTCCAGTCCTTTTCCATAGCCACCCTTGTCGGGGGGAGAGGGAGGGGAAATTTGGTGAGTGGGCGTTTCGAGAGAGAGCTTCGTTGGTGAGTTGACTGGAGACCCCACCCAAATACACTGAGGTGGGGTAAGGCAGGTATCCTGAGCTTGAGGATCCCTAATGCCTGATACACTTGAGCTCTGTCTCAAGTATGGTGGACTCTGTAAAACTTCGCCACGTTCGGGGCCCTCGATGTGATCTCATTGGTTAAGTAGCTCGACAAAACGAGATTTTTAATTAGTTTTCCACTAAATGGGTCCGAGAGGATACTGGCAAGGCGAGTGTATAGTTTTAGGTAGGTCACAGGTGAAGCAACTCCCTTAAGCCATCCTCTCCCACCCTCCTCCTTCTCCCCCAGCTAACACTGAGTCACAGGTGAAGTTTCGTGTTAGCCCCACGTAAGGCACCTGTGAGCTAAAAATCCGGGGGTTTTAATCACAATGGGATTACATAGTTAATGGTAGCCCATTGATAGATATGGAGAGGTGGATTTTCAGCTCAGAGCAGAGTTAATAAGCAACGCTTGTACCTAACACATGAAGTGCTGACACATTTGAAGATGAGTTGATTTTGAAAACTTTATGTTAAAGGGATGTAAGTTGCTATTGGGTGTAGCTACTCAAGAGAGTTTAGCCCACTTAGTTTTATCTCTCTTTTAAGATTAGAAGCTTCCTGAAGACAAAGATCCCATCATCTTTGAAGTTAGGTTAACTTTATCTCCTTCTATATCTGAAGACCTCTTTGCACATGGTAGGCAATAAATAGGTTACATTATATTGACTCTGCCACAGAGCCTAGTGCAGTTATATATGCTAACTTTTTTTTAATACATAAAAGGTTTATTTCTGTTTTAATAAATCTATAAGGTTCTAAACATTTTTCACACTTCTCCATTCTTCCACATCATTTCTGAAACTGTGGCCCATCTTTTAAATTTCTAAAGTAATATACTCATTGTAAACCATCCAAAGTGAGTTTATTTTTTATATAGCCTTGAGAAGTTATACCCAAATTCCTAAATTTTGGTAGATCTAATTACACATTTCTAAAGAAATGAATTACTTGCATTTCTGCTTATATATTGCTGTTAAAGTGCATAATCTGTACCCACGTCATATATTCTGAATTTTGACAAAAGTCATGTCTGTTCTTTAGAGGACGAACCATCTTCACAAACTGTTTTAAGCCAAACAGTCCCAAAGAAAACTATCCAGAGAACACAAGAAACTCCAGGTAAGAAAAGTGATTTTGTTTTTTGCCTTATCTGCCAACTTTTTTTTATGTACACATGATAGCCTGGTTCATCAAGGGTCCCAAATCATAACTTACTCGGCGGTTCAGTGAATCTTCTCTGTAGATTGTTTATTGGATTAAGCCATATAGGCATATGTCAAGAAAAGATGGGATGGATACTTGAGTAACTACTAATTACCTGCCACTTTGTGTATCGTCATTCATTCACATAACTGCAGGATCAATGTACCGATTTTATAGGTGAGGAAATTGGAGCTCAGAGAAGCTAAGACTCTTCCCTATGATTACATGATATATGATGGAACCAAAATTCATACCCAGGTTTGTCTTCTCCAAAGCCTTTTCATTTTCCCTAAGCACCTCATTGTCACTCTCTTGTGTAATAATTAGCTACTCAGTGAAGTTCGTTAAGTGTGGTGTGGTGTGCATGATTATGTCACACTACTTTCCATTTAAAATGGATTAAGTGGGGGGCACCTGGCTGGCTCAGTCAGTAAAGCATGGGACTCTTGATCTCAGGGTCATGAATTCACGCCCCATTTTGGGCATGGTGCCTCCTTAAAAAAATAAATAAAATAAAATGGATTAAGTAGTCTAGATAGTAAAATCATGACATGATATGGTCAGTGTTTCATCAAATCTAAAATATCATCAGTTGTAAGATCTACCATCATTGTTTTATGTACCACCTAGAAAGAAGAAATACTGCCAATTAAACTATAATATGCCATAGATGGTATGATGCATCCCAATTTCAGAGATGTTAAAGTGTAGAAATATTTGTATCTTAGTATCAATGTAACATAGAAGTAGGCTACATTGATAGTCTACTTGAGTTTTAAAAACCATTTAAACTATTTTGAAAAGCAGGGGAAAGGATTTAGTTCAGTTATTAATGCTTAGTATCCTTTTAGTTTTTAGTTCTATTTATTTTCAGTTTGCTTTTTTTGATATTAGGAAAGTCCCACAACTGTAAATAATCGTAACTATGAAACTGACCATCCCTGGCTTTTTTTTTTTTTTTAATAACATATCTTGACTTGTTTCCTTATCCATTGCTTCTGATAAGATTATGCTTTGGGGTGCCTGGGTGTCTCAGTCATTTGAGCATCAGACTCTTGATTTCAGCTCAAGTCATGATCTCAGGGTCCTGGGATCGAGCCCCACATTGGGCTCGCTGCTCGAAACTCTCTCCCTCTGCTCCTCCTCCTATGCATGCACGTGCGCACACACTCTCTCTCTAACTCAAATAAATCTTAAAAAAAAAAATTATGCTTTATAATTTGACCTATTCTGTTCTCAATTTAGAATAAAGTTCAAGTTTAGTTCCAAATAAACATACCCTTTATATTTGATGCCTATATTACTGTGTTAAGATTATAAACTCTCTTCGGGGCGCCTGAGTGGCTCAGTCGTTAAGCGTCTGCCTTCGGCTCAGGTCATGATCCCAGGGTCCTGGGATCGAGGCCCGCATTAGGCTCCATGCTCAGCGGGAAGCCTGCATCTCCCTTTCCCACTCCCTCTGCTTGTGTTCCCTCTCTCGCTGTCTCTCTCACTGTCAAAAAAAAAAAAAAAAGGGTTATAAACTCTCTTAGAAAAATACTTTGAGGGGCGCCTGGATGGCTCAGTCAAGCATCCGACTTGGTTTTACCGTGGGTCATGATGTCTTGGGTGATAAGATCGAGCCCCAAATAGGGCTCCCTGCTCAGTGGGGAATCTGCTTAAAGATTCTCTCCTTCTGTCCCTTCCCTCACTTGCACGCATGGTCTCTCTCTCTCAGATAAATAAATCTTTAAAAAATAAAGACCTAAACCAAGGGGCCACCTTCTAAAACAACCTAATAAAGACAACTACATCATTTGTCATCCTGTTTTTGTAAGTCATGTTAAACGTTGATTATATTAGCTTAGAAGACGGATACAGTTTGAACTCTTCTCATTGTTAGAAGTCCCAGAACTGAATTGTTTTCACATTAAAATAGCTGTTGGGTTGTTCATCCGGTTCAGTCCATGTATACTTATATGACTGTTCTGCGATCAGATTCATTCTTTACTGGAAATCATGAAGCTAATTTTACAACATGAAATTATATTAGGAGAATTTCATTTATTTTTCCTACAGTTAAATAGATATTTTTGTTCTAATAGTTGTGGTTCCTAGCTAAATAATCACAGATAATTATTTTTTAATGCCTACTATTTTGTCACAAACATTTGATTCTTTGGCTGCTGAACATTTGATTCTTTGGAGCATTCATTCATTCTCCAGATATTTATCGAGCACCTACTTTATGCCAGTCCCCATACTAGATGCTGGGTGTGCGGTGGTGAGCAAAAGCAGGCAAGGGACAAAGATTGCTACAGAAGAAGGGTACTTGCTATTTTATTCTCTAATACCTCTTTTTGGTACTCTTTCTCCTTCAAGTATCTTATATAAGGCGAGCATACAGGAAATGCTTCTTAAAAGATGGAACTGAAATAGTAATTGATGCCTATAGATTAAGTTGAGCTTTAGGTTTAACTAAATCTGAAAAGGGTGGGAATGCAGAAGAGGAAAAGAAGGAAGTTGTAATGATGGGATTATGAACATGTACAAGATTTATTTTTAAAGGTAATTCTTTAAGTTTTAAATACCTGATGTGTGAAGTACTAGCAACTAAGGTAGATATTTCATAAAATCTGAGAGCTGAAAGATTTAGGGAAGTCATCTGCTCAAAGTTTCTATCAGTGCAGGTATCCCTTTGTCAACATCCATTCATATAAGTGCCTGATCATTTTCACTGAAATGGAAATCATTCCCTCACTATCTGTTTTGTTTTGGAGACAACAATTTATTTGTTTATTGTTTACTTGTTTATTTGTTCATTTCATATTTTTTTTAAATGTTTTCCTATATTAGTGGTGAGTGAAGATCCTATAATCAGCCTGCGTAGACCCCCTCTAAGAAGTCCAAGATCTGGTAAGAGATTGTTTTGTCTGTTGGTTTAACTGTTTTATAAATATAGTTTTATTTTTAAATAGGTTAGCACATGTATTCATATGGTTCAGAATTTAAAAGTTATTATAAATATACAATGAAAAATCTCCCTGCCCTCTCCGTCCTTTACGCACTCAGTCTCCTCATCAGAGGCAACCAATGTTTTCAGTTTCTTAGGTATTTTTTAGAGATATTTTATGGAGATACAAGGAAACTCATGTATAAATATTTTCCTCCCTTCTTAACACAAATGTTAGCCCAATAAACACTCTTTTCTGCACCTTCCTAATTGTGTTTATTTCTATTTAATATATTAACACATCTTTCCATATACATATATAAAGGGCTTTCTTATTCTTTTTAAGAGGTTGTTCTTAATATGTTGCTATGATTTTTTTTGTTAGCATGATGATTTTAAACTAGGATCAGGGACTTTTTATTGTTCCCAGCATAATGCTACTAAAAAAAACCAAGATTGAGGCTTTAATAGCTCAGGGCTATAAAATTTTTCTGCCTCATTTATATTTCTTTTTGACTAAAACCTCTAAGAAATGTTGCCCTTAAGTTGATTTCTTGACTATAAAAGAAAACTAGTAAAGTCATTCCAAGCAGTCTACTCTTGCTTCATTTTCAGAGTTTATTAGGGTGCTTTCTCATGGAAACTAAAAAAGAACCTTATTTATCTTCACATTAGGTTTCTACTCCTCAGTCCTTTTCTTTAAGAAAGAATTAGGATGGTTTTTTTTGATGGATGGCTAACTGTTATTTTAAGTATTATAATGATAAAGATCTGTTAAGGTTTTGATGATGAACTTGTGGTAAAGAACCATATGATGCATTTCCTTTTAAGCTCTAATCATTTTCTTGCTATCTCTCTTGCAGATTCGGCATACAAAACAAATGGAAATACTAAAATGAGTGAATTAGGTTTGTTTATCTCTAATTCTTATAGGTTCTTTTTGAGGATTTTCATTACCAGAATACAGGAATATACACATTTAGTCGTGAGCTTGAGAATATTACTTTGTTCACTATCTCAGCTTGTGGGACACTGTCCCTATGGCCATGATCTTTCTTAATCACCCTGGTTTTTATTCTATCTGAAATTATGTCTTTTGTCATATTAATTTAAATTCGTATATGAACGTGTAATAACAAATACATTTTAATTTTTATTAATTAGACTTTGTTAAATTCACACTGCTGAGAGAAAAGGGGATCTCAACTTACATGTTCACATTTTTTCTTGATTTAGAAAGTAAATTCTAGATGTTTTTCATAGTAAGTTCAGTGTCCTTTGCCATGTTTGTTGAATTGGTTTAAATGCTTTTCCAGTGTTTGCCTTGGTGTAGGACATGAGATACCAAGAGTGAACCTACATTGACTGTGGTTGGACTTAGTTTTAAGTTACAGTATTTTTCTAAATTTAGAGATGAGTCAAAAGGAAGGAAGCTTCCTTTTTTTTAATAACTTGTTGCAACTTCTTTGAAATTCATCTTTCACTTAAGTTCAGGCTGATTTCTTAGAGACTTCAGGATTTAGTGTCTGGGTACTGAAAATGTTCCTTGCAGTATGCAACTCATCATGTGTACTCATACCCACCAGAGTTTCTCAAGTGTTCTATTTAAAAACTTAAAAAAAAGTTTTTAAGTTACAGTCTCTTAATTGGGATAGAAGTTGGAGCTGAATTAATCCAGTACTTTTACTTTCTATTGTAGATTTAGAAATTATTTTTGTAAGTACTTTATAATAAGAACTAACTTTTTAAAAACTGCTTTCCAGTTTAAAGAAAAATTTCTACAGGATTAATAGAGAATGGCATCCTCTCATTCTTTTTTATAGTAATGTTAGTACCTTCTTAGAGTATTAAAAGTGACTATTCATGGAGCTTGAGTATTATTGATATCCCCAAACTATTCTTTACACTCTCTTTCCTGCTACCCCATTCTGACTCTTCGCGAAAGCGTGGTTGGCACTGAATAATCTTACAGGTACCGCTCTTAAAGGTGTCTGTATTGGGAGTTGGCCTCTGAGTAAAATCTGACCCGCAATCCTGTTTTTATACAGCCTGTGAGCTAAGAAAAGAGACCTCGTGTGGCTGGCAAAGTCTCAAATATTTACTATTTGGCCCTGAATAGAAAAAGTTTACCAGTCCCTGGTTTATACCAGTGGCAGGAATAAAGACCACAAATTACTCAAAGTGACATTTGTTTGTTCTAAGAGTAAATTCAGAGAGTTACATACTTACCTGGACATATTTATCGTAGCACTCCATATTAGCCTGTATGGACAGCACAAGAAGAAAGGAGGCAAAATGACTCCTACATTCTATCTAGTCTTCTCTTTGAGAAAGCACCAGAATCTCATTTATGAAATCTTCCTATCTTTGTCCCCAGACAAGAGCAAAAAATAAGCAAAGTTTTATTTCCTTGAATATCCTTCACTTCTCACAGCAACACTCAATAAGTCTCTTGGAATAGAGACTCTATAATAAAGATATACTTGGAACTTTGTATTTTCCTTAAATTCTGTAACCAGGCAAAAGAAAGTGATACAATTAGTGGTTGGTTTCCACCAGGAGAGATAGTCTTAAGTGATCTATTCTTACGACAGACAAGTTCCTAGGACTTCTGAAAGTACCTTTTTCTAATTGGTTGAGATTATTGGAACAGCAGTACCTCCTTCACAGCTTCTTTAATTATTGCCATGTGGCTATTAAGTGCTACAGCTTTTATAATTATTTTTTCCTCTTGGACCCACTTTATTTGGAATCAGGGTGGGGAGGGCTCCAGGCCCGCTGGGCCCGCAGCAGTGCTCGCACCTGGCTGATCCGCCAGTCGACACTGGAGCCCACCGTGCCACTCAAGGCAGTGTACTGCTCCACGCTGTGTCTGTAGTACCGCGGGCAGCTTGTGTCACCCACGAACAGGGGGCTGATGGCGCGTAGCTCCTTCAGCGATAACTGGTTGAGGGCAACCCCCTTGGTCTTGGGCATGAGCACTGCCTTCTTGGAGATCTTGTCCTGGTGGAATGGCATCCCTTTGCGGACCAGGTAGTAGGTGAGGTCAGTGGCCAGGATGTCCGGACTAAGACCTGTGCTGTGTTCTCACAGTGAATCTGGGGGACGCTAGTGGGGGGGAGGGGAATGGTGAGTCCTGGGGACCCTGGGTGGTGAAGCTGCCAGCCCCAGGCCCAAGCTCTATCCCCCTCAGCCAGGATGTCCCCAGCTGTGGGCGGATGTACTCTGACCCAGCCTATTCTCTCTGCTTTGCCCCAGCTTTATAATATTTTAACTTTTTTTAAAAATTAAGGGTATTACTGCTCCAAATAAAAGTTTAATTTCTCAAAGCTTCTGCATAAGCATAGGAAAGAATAATACCTTTTTAAAAAACAAGTGTTTTAACCTTCTACATGTAGAAGCAAAGGAGTTTAAAATAAAGGAAGATGAACACAAAAGAGGGAAATGAAATTAAAACTTCCGCATAGTCCTAGATGCTGCTGATTCATCATCAGATTGTATTTAAATATTTATACATTCTTTGCGGCTTAGGTTAAAAAGATGAAACTGGAAAGTTTAAAACCTTGCATGAAACCTAATTATTAAGCACTAATTTCACACTATTTTCTTGAGTGGTTAAGTAATGTTGTCATGGTATGAGAAATATTATATTAACAAAAGCCTTAACTTAAAAATCTTCATTCTGTGATATAAAAATTTATTCATTTATTATATATATATATAAATCAATCAGTGGCCTAAATGCTAGAACCATAAAGAACTACGACTTTTTTTTTCTAGCTCTTACAGTACATGATCTAATGGAAAAGAAAAACAAGTTAGAAAAATTGTTGTAATGTTGTAAGTGTTGAAATGGTGGTACGTGTATGAGATAGGCTGGAGGAGAAGTGCCCCACACTGCAGGAGAGGTTGGGAAGGTTTCATGGAGGAAATGGCATTTGACCTGAATTTTGAAGATGAGTAGCAAGCAGAATGGGGAAAGAGATTTGCAGGTACTTGTAAATGTCTTGTAATAGACATCACTATCTTCAGAGTCTGTGCAGTATGAGAAATTAAACTCTTTTGCATTAGAGTCAACAGTCTCTGATTAGCTGTGACTCTGAGATATGTTAAATAACTTTTAGGATGACATTCTAATAGTAGACTTGGAATTCTTGACCTTCATTTACTAAAATGAAAATCATGTTTTAAAAAAATTGTAAATATAGGCAAGACAATGGGTAGACTGATACAGTGATGTTTATTATAAAATCAAATAAACCTATAGGATTTATTATTATTTAGAACATCTAATTCATATCTTTGGACTATGCATAGGCACAATGATATTAGTGATATCATCAAGACAACCTTGTTTAACAAGTTACTGTTCGTGTCTTGAATACTATTGATAAAGTTAGAAAAATTCTAAAGAAAGGACTTTTAAAGACTAGAATCAAAGTTTTAAAAGTGTTCAAAAATAGGTAAAATCCATGAAATAGGGAATACTTCAAATATAATGGTATAAAAAATAAATGGGGAGCTCCCTTATATAAGTTGGTTAAAAAAATAATTCTTAAATTCTCCCCCAGGCTAATTAGACAATACATATATAAAGAAGACAAAAGATATTGAATTTTAGGCAACCTTTATATGAGGGATTGATTATTAGGTGAATTGGCTCTGAACAAATTGACCTGGAGTTTAAAAAGTATGCGGAAATAAATTAGGATCAAAAAGAGAGGGTAACTACACTATTCATTTTTTTTTTTTACTGGTAGCTCAATGAAGGAATACATAGATTCTAAAATCAATTTGGCCTTAAATTTTGCTATACCAAGTAATTTTTAAATTATATAAAACATAATGCCCTAATATAAATGTGACTTTAGCAAAGCTGCTGTTGTAAATGAGTTACCCTTAGAAGTTGTTGTTTGTTGGAACCTCAGAAGAGTTCAGCCCCTCTGTCTTTTCTTCATCAATTTATTCAAAAAATTATTGAGACAGATTTCTGGTTTCCCTCCCATTCCACACGTAAGAAGCTTGGAAGTCACCACGCCAACCTAACAACAAATAAACACAACTGAAAAATCAAAAGCTCTTTTTGGATCTGTGAGAAAGGAGAGAACACAGGGCAAACGCCTGCCTCCCAGAGTAGAGAGACAAATACAGGATATCATGGCTTCTCAAGAGCTGACTCAAAAGTGGAGACTTTTGCAGGTACCAGTTCTGGGGTAGAAAAACCTGAGCTGTAACTGATGAATTGCCGGAGGCTCCATGTGGAGAAGTCTGAGAGTGAAAAATGCCAACGGGACCCAGTCTCATGGGGCCCTCACTATACTGTGAGATTTACCTCCAGGAGCTCAACCAAATCCCCATGGTGTATATATCAGAGAAAAATGCCCTCATGCTTTCGCAGGGAGAGGGGGGGAAAGGAATCATTTTGAAATATGTCAGAGCACTCTGTTCTTAATAAGGCCTGCCTTCAGGGCAATCTAGTTAACCAGAGCCTGACCTACTGGAGTATTATCAGAGCCCAACTGAGCTAGGGGAAGGAAAATTCCCTACTCTGGGCCACTCTAGACATCCTGTGCCATCTAAGGAGGAAAGAAAAATATTGAGAACCACTTTTGAAGTTCACAGTTCAGAGGCATAAAGTCACTGAAGGAAAGAATTAATAGGACAATGGAGCCCTTTCCCTCCCTTGACACCTCATCAGCACATTACTAAAGGCCTGTTTACAGCAGTTCTTTTTACCTAGTACATCGTGTTCAACCATCAGGACATAATCTTGAGATTAAGATTTGGTATCAAGAGGCAGCGTTCCTGATTTCAGCTCAGGTCATAATCTCAGGGTCGTGAGATGGAGGAGCCCTGTGTCAGGCTCTGCACTGGGCATGGAGCCTGCTTAAGATTCTCTCTCTGCCCC